TATATTAAACATGATCTTTAAAGATTTAATAGTTTAATATACTCAAGTATTTTTTGAAAACTTTTTAAATTTAATTTACTCCTTTTTGGGTATATTTTGTGTACATACAAAACAAAAATAAGTATATTTATTCCTCCCATACAATTAAAATGCCGGTTGGTTGTTTTGGCCTTGACCCGGAGACCTAGAGTCGCTCGAAGAAATGAGGTTTGGTAATAGGAAGCAGCATCTGCCCATCTCCTCCACCCACAAACACAAAATTAGGCCGCCAGACGCTCTCCCCCCCCTTATATCTACTAAAAATATATTTTTATATATCCTTTTCTTCAATTTCAAATGCTCTCCTTCCCTAATTTTGACGGCAACAACAAAATTATTTTTGGTGGAAGGCCACGCGTTGTGTATATTTAAAAATGTTTTTTGTTGCTCCATCCCAAAATTTAGTTGTTCTCATTTTAATTTTTTGTTTTAAATTTTTACCCCAAACACATTATTCAATTCAAGTCATTTTAAATAGAATTTTGAGATTCTTTTCTTTCATTCAAAATTTTTATTTTTAAATTTTTTTATGAAATTAAATATTTTCTATATATGTAGGAGTATTTAGAATTTTAAAATATTTTTTATTTATTTTAAGTCAAAGTTTTGTTTAGTAGACCCTCTGGAATTTAAATAAAGATCCTATTGTGATAGTCTAAGAATGTATATTTTGATAATTTTTATAATTGTTTTTGGCTTGTTAAATTAATCTTTTTTATTAAAATAAATTTTTAAAATTAATTCTGTGCGCATAATTACTTAGGTTCTTCACAGGACCGATGAACTGAGGATTTTTCGTTCGATTCCGAATATCCTAAGATTTTCGAAGAACCGTCAATTACACTGGCAAGCTTTATTTATCTAAATTAATTTTTGATTTTTCTTTCCTTTTCTCTTATTTCTCTTATTCAATTAAATAAATCTATCCAATAATATCCTCCCATTGCTTGGCCATTAAACTTTTATGACTCTTTGTTTCTCAAAACTTCTGGCGATTACTACAGACATTTTACAGAAAAAATCTTTGTTTCCTTCCCATCTATTATTCAATTAGATTTTGATATCCCTCTCTTCTTTTTTTTGTAAAAAATTGTAATATATTTGGAAAATGCCATAAATCTTTTAAAAATCAAATTTTTGAAATAAACAAAAATTTCTCATAAATAAAATACAAATATAAAAATATGAATACCGTAAATCCTTTAATAACTACCCTGGGTAATTATTGTTTAGACCTTCCGTTGGAGGGAGTAATTAATCGAGGTAGGGTAATTATACGAGTTTGAAATTTGAACGTGTTTTAGGGCATTTGTTGTGGGGTGATTATTGTTTCAATCTATCCCTGGAGGTGGTAATTAATAGGAGTGGGTTAATTATTTGAAGGAGGGCAATTAATACAGGTTATACGGTATATTATTAGAAATCTTATTAAAATTTTTAATATTCAAAATTAAAATATAATTATATTTTTTTAAAATTTTCCTGCTTTTCTAAAATTTTTAATTAATTAATTTCGTAATTTCTTAAATAAATTTTAATTTTTAAAAATAAATAAATATAATTAAATACTAATTCTTCTAAATAAATTTATATTTAATTTTGCCGTTCTTGAAAAGAAAAATAACACAAAATTAAGTGTTATTTGGGTTTAGGAGAATGGCACCGCCAGTGCCACCAGTCTATCCATGCTTCTACAACCATTCATTCAATAATAAATTATTATTTATTTTTAAATAAAATAATTAAATATTACTCAATTTATTTTTAATTTTTAAGTTGCAAAGGGTTTTTTAAAAGAACAGTGCAAAATAAAAGGGTCTATAATTGTTGTGCTATTAATTTAACAACAAATATAGTTAATGGAAATAATGAACATCAACAAAAAATTATTAGGCAGGGCAATTGCCCAATGACAAAAGAACAAAGAAATCGGTTAATTAAAAAAAATTTTTTTGATTTTTTAGATAATTAATTATGTATAAACTGCTCCACAAAATTATAGCCCCACAAGTATTTCTCTCGGTTTCAATACTGTAACCGGTGTTTTTATTTTTAGACTTTTTTTAATAATAAATAGTTTTCTGAAATTAGGTTTTTAACATTAAGAAAAATCTACAAAAATTTTTTTTGTAAACAATAATTAATTTTCAAATTTAGTTGTCAATTCTGTAGATTTCAAAAGTGTTTACAAAAAGGAATGGTACTTGAAGCTGTGCGCGAGGACCGTATGCCTGGTGGAAGAAATGGCTCAGCAATTTATAATTTATACAAAGTAGGGATTTTTTAATTGAATATTTTTTAAATTAAATTATAAAAGTTTAAGTGTTAAAAAAAGGATTTTTTCAGTTTCTCTTAAATATTTTTATATTTTATTTCCTTTTTCATACTATTAATTTTTCTCTATTATCATACATATAAAATAATTTTTGATCTGCTAAAGTACTTTTTTAAAAAAATAAAAAAAATAACTAGTTTTATACCAATCCATCCAAAAATCCATTAAAAATGCTTAAGGGCATCCCGTATATCTCCATTCGTTTCTAAGATTTTATTTTTTGCTTTTCCTTCTTTTCTAGCTAAGTACACACATTCATAAACAACGATCATTCCTCAATCTATGAAAAATAAAAATATATTTTATTAAAAATTTTCATCTATTCTTGCTTTTATTAAAGATGTTTTTTACAAAAATATTTTTATTTTTAAACAAAATTTTTAAAATATTTCATAAACTCACTCAAAATTTATTTAGAATTCTACAGGATGAGTCAAAAGTAATCGGGCACCTTATTTTTGTCATAACTTTATTTAAATTAAAGATAATCAGATTTAATAAAATTTAAATAATAGAGAAATAAATATGTAAAAAATAAATCAAGAATTTTCGAAGTGCCCGACTTAGCTTTGATAATTCTAAGGAACATGGAAAAAATTTTTGGGCAAAATTGGGGTGGGATTTTCTCACATTCTCGAACGAGTAATTCCCGAAGCGACTCCAAGCTTTTGGGTTTCTAATTAGGTTTATAATTAGATCAGTTTTTGTTTTTTACTCGTAGACCATTGCCTCCAAAAGAGACCGTAAAGAGTAATCAATCTGATTTAAATCCGTAGAGCACGTTGCCATTCTTGAGTGGAGATAAGACGGGGTAGATGACCAATTTCTTCGTTTAATCTCAAACCGAAGATTGCCTTTTTTCGAGTTTATTAGCAACAACCCTTGTACTTATAATATAATTTAACAAAAACTATTTCTATATTCACCTTAGATAATTTTACTTACTTGAACTTTAAAATTCTGCACACGTAAAATAATAATGGGAAAATTATTTTTTTATATTTGATCCGCTGACCTAATTTTTTATATTTTTTTAAAATCTGCGGGAAATACTAGTATTAAATATAAAAAACCAATCAAAAAGCAGGATGCCGTTGTACTTTTTCGCGCGGCGATTTTTATTTTATTCTGATGTTTAACCGCTTAAAACTTGCACTTGTCTAGCAATTTTTGTTTCATTCCACTTTAAATATTTTAGCTATTTTTGGTTTTATTTTAACAAAATAGAAAATTAACCTGCATAACACTTTAGCTAAAAGAAAAAGAATTTTTTTAATTGCTAAATTTTTTGAGACTAGAGACTGAACCAAGACGAGATTTCGATTTTCCTCCTAATCCGGTTTCTCAATTTCGATTTTGAATTAATGAATTTATGTTTATGTTAAAATTTTTTTTGAAAATCTGAAGGATTATTTTTCATTTAAGATAATAGTAGGTATTTTTTCTAATAGTGCGACTCTCTCTATTAGACAGACCGGTCGCACTATTAGAAGAAATATGGTAGATATTAAATTAAAAAGAAATAAGCAAGATTTTAATAAATAATGGAATAAATAATTATTTAAAGAATAATTAATTTCTGATAATCTGTCGAATAAAAAAATTTAAATGAAATGTTTTAATAAAAATACCCCCCCCCCCTCCAATCTACAATTAATTTAAAAATAAAAGTTTCACATTTAAAATAATTATTCTTCCTCTCTAAATTAATTTTTAAAAAAATATTTTAAACATTCCAAACTTATTAATAAAATAAATATTTTTTTAAAATAATTTTTTTCTGTTTAATATTTTCTTTTTTTTAACCGTTCATTTGCCTCTACTATTGGTTGTTTATGTTGTAAAAAAGTTGCAGTTGAAAAATAAAATATTTTTGCACATTTTCTTTTTAAATTTTTAATCAGTCATTATTTTATTTTTTAACATTTTTTATTTAAAAATTATTAATTTTAAATTATTTTTTGTTAATTTTATTAAATTTTTATTTAATTAATTAATTAATTAATTATTTTCAAATATTATTTTGTTGTAATATTATTAAAGTTATTTTTATGGATTTTTTACACTTTAGAATTACACAATAAAAAATATAATTTTTTAACAATAATATTACAATCTTGCTATTTTTTTTAAAATAATAATTATAAACTTTGATTTATTTGTTTGTCTCTTGATTAGCTTTAAAAAGCTTTTCTCTATATTTAATAAATATTGAACTCTCGAAATGAAAAATAAAAATATGTTCAATAATAAAAAAAATTTTTAGTTTTCTTTTTTCTCTGTAAAATATTTAATAATCTTACAAAAATTAATTATTTTTAAATTTATTTTTATTTTCAATTTACCGTAAATGCTGAAATAATGTCCCTCCTTCAATAATTATCCCTGCCCTATTAATTACCCCTCACAGCCAGGGATCGAAAAAATAATTACCCCTCTTAAAAATAGTTATAATTAGCTTTTCTAAAAAAGCTCAAATGATTACCCCATCCCTTTTAATTACCCCCTTCAAGAAAGGTTGAAACAATACTTACCCTGGGTAATTATTTTAGCAAATACGGTAATAATATAAATAAAAATTCAAATTATTTAAATTTATTTTTCAATTTAATTTTTCTAGTTAAAATACCGCAAAACAACATCTTCCCCTAAAGATCCCACAACAATAACAACATCCTCCTCCTCTCCTTCTTCTTCTCAAACAATTTCTAATACAAATTTTTCTTCAAATTCTTCCTCCTCTTCTTCCTGTTTTTCTTCTTTATCTAGTAAAATGACTGAAACAACAGAATCCCCTCCTAAAGACTTGGAAAATAACAAAAACGAGGAAATTAATTTAATAGCAACACAAAATTCAAATAAAAATATTTCATTAAATCAAAATAATTTGGTTAAAATATTAAAATTAATTTAAATTTTAAAAATTTTGTTTAGAATTCCTTGGACATGCCTTGCTCTTCAGTAACTGCAACCTCTTCTTCACCTTCTTCATCCTTTTCCTTATCATCGCCCAAGTCCGGTCCAACAAAAGTAATTCCTTCAGGTATTAGTTTTATCCAATTTTTATCGGTTAAATAGACAAGTGAACGAAACAATCGTTTTCAAGTTTTTAAATTGAAAATTATATAAATTAATAGGGTTGAAGGTCCGGTATAAAAAAGACTCGGACCGAGTTTTTTCATAGGAAAAAAGACTCGGACGATAAAAATGACTCATACGTTTTTATTATTTTTGCATGACAAAATTATTTTCAGAATCCTAGGAAATTGGATATTCGATTGAAGTTAACCTTGTCTATTCAAAAATACAAGGATTTATTTTTTAATTTAATGTTCTTGCTAATTTTTTGATTTTTAATTATTAATTATTTTTAATTTAAAAAATACAGTAAATTAAAAAAAATTTTAAAATTATTTTCAAAAAATTTCAAAAAAATTTTTTAAAGTCTGTATTAATTCAACACAAAACTCAAATTCAACATGTTCAAAATCTTGTGTAGAAAATATAAAATCAACAAAATATTTTGAAGATTCCCCTCCATGTAAAAAATTAGCTAGACACGACGAGGAAAATAAAGAAGAAAATCAGAAAATATTAAATCAAGTTATTCCTCGAAAAAACCTTATTGAAGTAAATATTCTACTGATTTTAAATAATTTTTAAAAATTCAGAAATTAACGGAAATTGACCGTTTAGACGAGTTAATAAATTTACAAGGGTTGCAAATTAGAAGTACACAGCAAAATGTGGAAGAGCAAATAACGGCTGCCCAAAGACTTTCTCATGTTTTTAAAATAATTAATTAATTAATTTAAAATTAAATAATTAAAGATTGGAGATGAAATTGTTGAACAATTAGTTGAATGGACTAAATTATTACCGTTTTATGGGGAATTACCTGTTGAAGTACACACATTTTTATTGACACATCGTTGGGCTGAATTGGTGAATTTTTATTAAAATATGTGAAATAATTAATTTTAAAAGGTATTATTGTCAACTTGTTTCTTTGCCTATTCTTCTTTAAATAATTTAAAAGAAAACGGTTAATATTTAAATTATTCTATGCTGTATAGGGTTGTTGACTGCCGGTACCTTCGGTTTTCAGTTAATCCGAATTTTAAAGTCCTGGTTTCGAGTTTAGTTAAATATCGATTTTATTTTGTATGGGATTGGTTTTTGAAGCTTCATAAAAGTAAAATATGCACATATCAAAAAATTTTCTGTCTTAAAACCTGTCGTGGATCAGGTGTCAGTCGGAATACCTATTTCCGACAGTTCCGATTTCCGGCACCTTTGTCATTTCCAATCAACCTCTGTCATGGATAACCCTCATTTTATTTTAAATATAGAAGTGATTTTTAAATTATTTTTTTTTAAATTTAAATTAACAGAGAGAATGTCCAATTCCGATAGCAATTTCAATTTGGTACTTTTACAGCAACGTCTTTCCTCTGTAATGGATAAACAAATACCTATAGAGCATGTTGAGAAGTAAATAGAAAATTTTCAAAAATAATTTACAAAAAATAAATCTTTTAAGAGAAGCAGGCCTTTTAGTTGAACAATTTACTTTATTATTTAATTCTTTTTGTAATTTACAAATTACTCTAGAAGCTTATGTTTGTTTAAAGGCAATTACAATACTTCACTGTGGAACTAGCGGAAATTGTTAATTTTTATTTTAAGAAAAAAATTTTTTTGGAAATTATTTCTGATCTTAAATATCTTAAACTGTTTTAAAAAAAATAGTTTTTAATTTAATTATTTGATTGGGGATGTGATTTGCGATATATGTATACCTGGGGATATACATAGGTTGTGTGAGAAAAGTTGCTTCTGGTTCTCTCGGGTTTCAAAAAAATTTTTTATTGGGTTTCGGGTCAGAAAAAGTTCTTGGTTTCGGGTAACACGACCCATCTCTGCTATATGCAAAAACGAATCTTTTATTCAAAAAATTTATTTTTTTTAAAGATCTCGAAAACTCCGATCCAATACTTGCCCCTCCTCCCCCTCCCCCTTCCTCCTCTTCTGCCTCTTCTTCATCGACAATAGAAAAACAAAATTTAAATATCGAAATAAATACTTGTGCCAATCCAGAATTAATTACACAAAATTCTCAACAACAACAATTATCTAATACTCTTGCTGGAATTACTGGACAATTACAAAATCATTATTCCAATAAAGTAATTAATTAAAAACACATTAATTACTAAAATCATATTTTTCCTTACTTCCTTGGACTGCTCGGAATGGCCAATTTTCCTTAGTATTGATGTATATTGATATTTTTGCCCAATAAACCACCATATTGTCCTATCCCAGGCATCAACAAACATTATAAACTTATTAAAGATGAGGCCATAGTAAGGAAAAATATGATTTTGGCACTCCGCGCTTTTCGTGCTCATTACTCTCTCAAGAATATTTAATTATTTTTTAGGTTTCTATAATTCAAGAGCAATTTGTTAAAGCTTTACAAATCCATTTAAGTCAATGTGAGGACGGCCCCAGACTTTCAGATATTCTTAATTGGTATTTGGATATAATTTTAAATTTTTAAAATAAATTTATTTAAAAGGCTTCCAATGCTTCGAACAGTTTCTTTAGTTCTTTTAAATTCAAAAATGTTTTATGTTCCTTTTCTTATTTGTAAACGGCCTTCTCGAATAAAAATATTTCAACCAGAATTGTTACCTATTTCTTCATCACAAAATAATTCTGAACAGGCTGGCGGCGTGAGATTAAATTTTAAATTAATTTTTTTATTTTTTTAAAATTAAAAACAAAATTAAAATGATCAAAAAATATTTTTAAGACAATTATCAAAAAAAGATCTATTTAATTTAAATATTTTCTCTAAAAAATAATTATTTTTTTTCTGTCTGATTATCAGAATGATGAATTATTGAAGGCTGAGGAAACTGACAGTGAAAGCTGATTTTAATGTTCAGTTTAATTTATTTACAAGACAAGCATTTTTAGATGCCAAATTGGAAAGGAAGTGCGCAATAAATTAATACTTTTTATTTAAATTATTTTTTAAATTAATTTTTTAATTTTAACTATTTTTGCTTTTTAATTTAGCTGGGAACAGGCCGATCCAACTCCCAAAAATCAGAAATTGAGTTTTATGTCCAAACGATCCCTGGTCTACCGAATAAAAAATAAATTCTCTATTTTCGGGAATTGGGTCGGCCAGATTTCTAGTATTTAGTAGAGACCGGACTGGGAGTGTCCTACAAGAATTGTACGAGATATCTCGAAAAATCTCGATCTAGATAATCGAATTTTCTGTCGAGATCTCCTCTCGATCCGGTCTCTAGTATTTAGTACAAATTATATTTATGTTTTTGTAAATATTTATGATTTTAATTTTAAATAATGTCTGTAAAGTAATTAATTAAAGATTAAAATAATTATCTTATTTTCTCTAATTAAGCTTCCAGCCGCTTTTCCCTTTTAACTACACTTTTTCGACAAAAATTTTTAATTCTTAATTAAAATAAAAAAAATATTTACCAATTTATTTATTCAAAATGACGTTATTTTTACTATTAAAATATTTTTCGTTATTTATTTGCAAAAAATAAAAGAAAACAAAAAAGCCACCTAAAACTAAATTTGCACACATGGCTAATTTTTTATTCTAAGCTTCATCGAGTTTATTTTTTTACTTGTTTGTTTTGGTATAGGACTTTGAAAAATAAATTTACTTTTTATTTTATAAATTTTTACTTTATCATTAAAAATAAATTTTTTATACGAACGTACAAAAATATTCTAAACTAACAAAATACTGAAAAAATCTTTAAAATATTAATATTAATTAATAATTTTAAGCAACATTTTATTTTATTAATTTCTTTATCATTTGCATTATTTAATTTCCATAAATTAAAAAATAAGATAATAAAAAATTTTTATGTACTTTTAAAGTATAATAGGTGTTATTTTAATTAAATATGTATGTATTTTTACCATTAACATTTATTTATCTCCATTATTACTTAAATAAACATTCAATAATACCAATAAATTACTTTTTGAATTTAAATTAATTCTAAAATTTTCTAAAATACAGTTAATCAGCTCTAAAGATAATTTTCATTATTACCGTTATATCCGAAAATATCCATTTGTTGTCTAGTTGTGTGACCCTGAATTTGTCCCTTAGAATAAATTCAAGTAAAAGTAACGATTATTTTACACACCTTCATTCTTCTTTAAATTTAATAAAAAATATTATTTTTTCCTAACAAAACAAATTTAAAAAATATTTTTTAATAAAAAAATAGAAGAAGAATTTATTTCTTTAATTAAATAACAACTATTTAGTAAGTACATGTGTGTAGACTGACTCAATTATATAAATTTTTTCTTTAAAAAATTCCCAGAAGAATAATATTCGTCATTAGAATTTTTTAAAAGAAAAAGGGCGAAGCAACAAAATTGAGTTTAAAGTAAAAAATATGTCCAAATTGTTTTTTTTAAAATGAGGAAGAAAAAAAGTAAAATAAAAATGATTAGGAAAAATGAAAGAAAATAATAAAATTTAAAAAGAAAAAAAATATTTAGTTAAAGCAATAATCCAAGACGAAACGTGTAACAGAGCGTAAACTACACAAACAAAAAAAAAAATAAATATTTTTTTAAAAAAGTAATGATTGCTAGAGGACTTTCTTTAAATTTAAAAAATATTTTACTTTACTTAATTTATTCTTTCTTTTGTTAAAAAATCTGTCTTCTTTTTTTATAAAAAAATTTAAAGTTTAGAGATTAAAAATAAAAAGAATATTAGGGATTTTGCAAGATATACATATATTTGATTTTAAATTTATTTATGACAGGCTGTGAATAAACAATTTATTTTAGAGATCGGGACGGGAAGGATCCCATACGTGATTTTACTGGATCCCTTCCCGAAATCTCGGGTCTTAAGAAACAAAATAAATTACCTTTAAGGAATTCATTTTGAAACTCAATCTCGTTACTTGATCACGTGAATGAGATTTTTACTACCTTCAATCTACATATATTTCTTGTAAAAATAAACTAAAAATGTAAAAATATTTAGATTAATTTTTTAAAACCTATCCCAAATTACCTAAAAAATTATCCATATGTTCACAGTATAAAATTCAATTTTCGATCTTCTAAAACGTCTTTAAAAACATATTCCAATTTAATTTTTATAAATTAATGCTTACATTATTATTTAAAAATTATTTTTCAATTATTTTAAAATATTCTTTTAATATGTATGTACTTATACTTGCACTTTTATAAAAATCATCATCAAAAAATAATTTTCTTAAAAATTTTTTTAAAATATTTATGCTTGAATTAAATAATAATTTTACTAATGATGATGAGTAAATACAAAAACATATTTTTTTCTTATTTTAATTAACTAGTATTATTATTTTATAAAAATTTTTTTACGTAAATAAAAGAAAGTAAATACTTCGTTAATAATTAGTTAATAATTTTTATATATTTTGTTATTTTATTTAAATATTTATTTTAATAATTAAATCAAGATTTTGATATTTTAAATTTGTTTTTATTTAATTATTTAGATGTTTTAGCTAATAAATTAAAGTTAAGAAAAATAAATTTTAAAATTCATTCAAAATTAGAAAACTATTAAATGTACTTATCTACCTATAGTACAATTATATGGATAAATCAGGGATCTTGACGACATAAAATATAAATTCACGATTTCGGGAAATTGGGTACCTAACTAGGGTTTTTGCAATTGCAGTTGCGGATTTTTTAAAAAAATTGCGAGTTGCATGCAGCTCTGATCCTAACTCAAAATAACGGGAATTTCCAATTTTCCGGAATTCCTGCTAAACATGTATTAATCCATTAAAAAATATTTTTATTTAAAATTATTTTGTAACATTTTATTAATTGTATTCTATTTTTCTATTTGATTTAATAAATTTGTTTTATTTTTGATTTTTTAAATTTAAATTTATTTTTATATTTTATTATTTTGTTTCATTCTCTTTGTTACAAAAAATCTCTATATAAAAATTCCATATAAAAATGTCTACTCAAACAATAGCTATTTTAATACTAACAAAATGCACAATTGGCATACAAATATCTTATTTCAATTATTTATTCAATGAAATTCTTTACCGCTTTTACCAATTATTAAAATTATTTTTTGTTTGTTTTTGGCTTAAAAATATAATTTTGATAATTATTTTTTAATAAAAAATTTTTATATTTATTTAAAAAATATTGGGAAATACCTCGCTTAGTTTTTTGACATTTTTTATTTTTAAAAATAAAAACAAAATTTTTTGTTATTTGAAAAATTATTTTATATGAAACGATGTTATCTAATTTATTTTTAATTTTACTTTTCTAATTTTATTTTTTTATTAATGCTTTATAAAATTCCAACTTAGCTCTTGGGGCGTTAAATATCCAATTAACGTAGAATTATTTTTTCAATTTAATTGACTTTAGAAAATATTAATAAATAATTATTTATTCATTATTATTTTTATTTAAACTGCAAATTAAAATTCTTAAAAATAAATTTAAATAAGTTATTAAATTTATAATTTTTTAAGCTTTGCAAATCCTCATTAAGGCACACAATTTGCAAGCAAAAATCTATTACTTAAATTACTAATTTTTAATTATTTAATTTTTAATAAATTAAAAGGGTAGGGAAGATGTATGTACATAGTATCTATATTTTTTATTAACGATTTGAATAAAAAAAATTTTTCCATTTTTATTTCCGCCGTGTCATTTTTCAATTGTTTAAATGAATACAAATTTTTTTAATAAAAAATATATATGTACTTCCTCTAATTTTACGTCATTTGTGTACACACAATATTTATTTTTTTACTTAATATCCGGAATTAATTTTTAAATTATTTTTAAAATTTTCCCCACATTTTTAAAAAAATTTATTAAACTTATGGAATTAATTTTATAAATAAATATTTAATAAATTAATGTTTCATTTCAATCATCAAATATTTATTTATTTTAATAAAAATTATTTTAAATACCTCCTTTTCTAATCTCTTTCATGCCTTTAATCTCTTAAAATGTTTTTTAAATTTAAATAAAATATATTTTTATTTATTTTAATTAAATATATCCATTAAATTATTTAAATTTCTAAAAATATTTTTTAAGTAAAAATTTTATTTTTTAAAAACGTCAACCAATTTTTTAAAGAAAATACTTTCCTTCTATATATTTCCCCCATTTTTAACACTTTTAAAAACCCTCATTTAAATATTTAAAATATTCTTTGGCCAAAAAAAAAGAATTTTCTTTTGTTTACTTTTAAAAAATAAATATTAACATAGTTGCTTTACTTTTTGTCTAAATAGCCTTGGGAAATGCTAATAGAAATAATACTTTTTAAAAAAAGAATAATTTTCCAATTATTTTTTTGTTTGAATAAAAGATAAGTAAATAAATTTATAACTTTTTTTTATTAAAGAAAAATATTATTTTTAAATTATTTTTTAAATTAAAATTATTAGAATTTAGTGCCTTTCATTATTTATATTTTATTTAAAATTAAATCCCTTCTTTTAAAAATCAATTCTTTTAGAAGATTTATTTTCTATTACATTTTTCATCATCTTATTTTTTAAATAAACTGTTAATTTTAATTAAATTTTTTATTAAATAACTTTTTTGCTTGATCAATTAATATAAGATTTGACTTGATTAACGAGTAAATTTGGGAAAAAGATAGCGTTTAACGAGAGCTTTCGAATGATATAACATTCATTCGGCTTGGATCAAGCATAAAAACGTATAGCTGATAAAATTTTGAAAGATTGAAAATTAGGGGGGAGATAATACAAAAGTACCAATAAAATTATCAAAAAATATTATTTATCAAGTTTCTTTACTTTAGTATTTTATGTCCCTTAATTTATATGCTTTTTAAGGATAAAAATACTTTAATTTTAATTCATTAAATATTTAAAATATTTTATATTAAAATATATTTCTTTAAGAGATTATTTTTGCTTGCGAAGACAAAAATTTGGATAAAAAATATAAAAAAGGATAATAATAATAAAAATTCCAAAATATTTTTTAATTAAAAACAAAAATGAATTCGTATATAATTCATTCGACACTTCATAATTTTGAATTTGAAAATAATCGAAATAATAAAAATCAAAAGCAACAACATTTGGTTGCCTCTCCAGCAGCAAATGAAGTCTTTTAAAAATAATTTGGGGGAAAAATTAAAAAAAATTTTTTTAGAAAAATAAATGTTTTGATATATTTAACACAAATTTACAAACAAATGGAAATTCTAATAATGTAAATTCCTCAGAATCTGGACAGTTTTTGATGGCACCACGTCCATTGAGACGTTGTAGAAGTTCTTCCCCTTCTACAAATCCAACATTAAATAAAGTTGGGAAATTTTTAAGAAGAGATTTTTGAAAATTAATATTTTTTTAGCAAAATAGTGGCCATTTACAAATGCTCAGTCTTGAACAGCAAGTTTTGATTAGGTAATGGAATATATAAATATTGCTTTTTTAAATTCGTTATTAAAATTTAATTTTAAAAATTTAAAAGTCAAATTTTTAAAAGACTAAGTTTCGCTGTAACCCCCTCCATCAGAAATCTATTTACGATTTTTATTAATTTGCCAGTCATCCGTTGTTCGGGAATGGGTGAAAATTTCACCATAATAGGTCCGAACTTTTGCGCTAAATTTTCCTCACGCCATTGACTCTGTATTCTCGCAAAGGGTTGGTTCTTCTAAAATTTCTAAGTATATTCGTTCGTTTGTTAATTCTCTAGCATATAAGATTCATATGATCCCAATCAGACGTGGGCGAAACGTTTCGTTTCGTTTCGTTGTTTCGTTAGTTTCGTTATGTTTTTTCCTGTTTCGTCTCGTTTCGTGACGAAACACTTTTTAGTTTGTTTCGTTTCGTTTCGTTAACGAAACACCTCTGTTTCGTTAACGAAACATTACCCATTTTTTAGACCAAAATATTACCCAAAAACTGTAAAATTTTCCCCTTTGGTGATCAAAATTCAAAAAATTTTTGCCTGCGGCGCTGAAATCTGGATTTTAAGCGCCTACGGCGCATAATTTACTATATTTTTTTTGAATTTCTCGTTTGATTTTATTTTTTTAATATGCAAAGCTCGAATTCTATGCTAGATTAGGCATATAGAATCGATGTACCTCTTAATGCCAATCAGGGCAGGCGCAAGAGTTTCAATAAAGTTTAGTTTCAATAAACGAAAACGCAACTGATGGCAATGATCATGAATATGGTTGCCTTTTTTCGGGCCTGTTTCTATCGAGTCGGGCCAGTACGAGACTTTTCGGGCCAAATATCTTAGGCTCGACTCGATATTTTGGTCCGAGTCGGACCATTTTGGCAACCCTAATCATGAACGTTGTTATCAGTAAAAAAATCTGAGTTGAGAAATATCATTGGATTTGGCGGGAGCAATGGTGGTATAGGAAATTTGGAGAGAGTAAACGGATATCGGTGGATTTGGAGGGTTTAAAAAATTTAAAAAAATGCCGGGAATCAGGAACGGGTTTAGGCGATAGTAATTTCCGACAAAGTTAATTCCCTATTTTAGGGAATCAGGAAACGGGTCGGCAGGTCCCTGATATACATATACACATATACTCAACACATAATTCGAGCCTGGGACCACAATTTAAGGTCCCACTAAGCTATTAGATCAATTATAGGCCATAACTGGCCTAATAACGTGTCTAAAATCGAATAATTAAGAAAATAAAACCATTTTTATTAAATTTTTTGAAAATTAAAATGTTTCGTTTTGTTTCGTTTCGTTTCGCTAAATTTTTACTGTTTCGTCTCGTTTCGTTAACGAAACGATTTTTAAAAAATTTTGTTTCGTTTCGTTTCGTCTGAAAAAATTTTCGAGTTTCGCCCAGGTCTGATCCCAATATCTTAAAGTTGAATAAAGTTATGGCATAAAAAGTGTGTCCTAAACTTTAATGGTCACCCTGCATTAAAAATACAGTGAAATTAATAAAATTGTAAAAAACTCTTATGCTCATTCCGGCATTTAAAATTTATTTTATCGTTTTTTATTAACAGAAAGTCCTGGTCTAGAATCCAAAAATCAACTTTTGGAAGCACAGTTTATGAGAAAATGCTTGGTTTGTTTAATTTTTAAATATTAATTTTAAATTAAAAGAATTTTTAGAGAAATGCCCGTCCATCGAGCGTCTTTTCAACCCATCAGATCCCTTAGCTATTTCACGTCATGAACGTTATTTTACTGAATTAGCTCAATGGGCAGTAGATGGAATGTCAGAACCCGATAAAATTTTAAGTAATTGGTTAGAAATGGTTGGAAGGGAACATGCTCAATTTCGTGTAAAGTGGGCGGAATTTACTTTTATTTTTAAAAATTTTATTAAAAAATCTCAGGCGTTCACATTGGGATTTTATGGGGGAGGCTTTAGCTGAATCTATCTGCCAATCAGCAACAATTACTGGTAGACAAAGACGGGAAACTGTACATGCTTGGCGTTTACTTCTTTCATTTCTTGCTGATAGACTTGGTATTTGTTTGGATTTTTGGAATTTTAAAACAAGAAGGACGAAATAATTTTTAGAATTTTTCCATTCCTAATTTAATTTTTATTAGTTGAATTCGACTTTCCTTTAAGTTAACTTCATTATAATTTAATTAGGAGGAAGTTCATCAGCTCCAATTGTCTCAACTCAAGATGGTGGGATTGGCTTTAATCGTATTCATCTTCTACAACTTGTAGCTGATGGCCCGAGACAGGGTCAGGTTGAAGAGAAGGATGTTAAGATGTTATGAGTGATTAACGATGCAAATATTTTTGACGTGTTTAACACATATCCCTCCAAATTTAGATAATTTTTTAAATTGTATGTATATTATAAACTCGGTAGATGTAAATATTCTCAAATATTTCTAGTAGAATATATACTAGTTGAGTAAATCTGAATTTGGACTAGGGTTAGATTTTGTTCCAATTAAATATTTCCGGTTTTAAAATTTCAAAAAAAGCTTGTGGATGAAAAAAAGCTTGTGGATTACAAGCTTGTGGATGATACGGAGAAATTTTTAGTAAATTAAAGGAACTTATTAAATTAACAAATTTATTTAAAAAACTTTTAATTTTATTTTATTTCTTTTAAAATTAGTATAATAAAAAAAATTTAGATTACTGTTTTTTTCGGAAAGAATTTGTAAGTCTACTGTAATATCAGAATTACCTAAAGATTTAAAACAAGAGAGAAGTGACACCAAAATTTAAAGTTCTGACTAGAGTTCAGCGGTATCGGGATTTAGAGAAAAACCCGGGATCGGGATTTAGGAATAGTCATCCCGATCCCGATCCCGGATCCCGACACGGGATCGGGATTAGCCGAAATCGGGATCGGGATTTGGACTGGAGATCCCGATCTCGGTCCCGATCCCGAATCGGGACCGGGATTGAAAAATCGGGATCGGGATTTACTAAAAAATTTTTTAAAAATTTTTATTTTCTTCACATACGACTCAGTATAATTCTAAAATTGCCGCTGCGGTGCTGAAATATAGAGTTTAAGTCTCATAAACACATAATTTACTTTCCGGTTGGGGATTATGGGGAGATAAGGGGATTAAGGGAGATAATGTAGGGGATTAGAGGAGATAAGGTAATGGGGGGGGGGGATAAATGGGATTGGGCTTCTATTTTAAGCGCCGTAGGCTAAAATTTTGAAAAATTTGGAAGGCCAAGGTGCCAGATTTCCTCCCTTTTAAGCGTCGCAGGCAACATTTTTTAATTTTGGAAGGCCAAGGGCATTCAAGTCTAATTCAAGTCTAACGATTAAGTGCGTTACGCTAAACCGTGGACGATTAAGAACTGACATTCAGGTATTAAGTGATATATTCATTTATCAATATCTCTTAAGCCCTCGATTTCTCTTCAAATCTAACTCAATCCCTGTAAATCCACCGATACTCCTCTCAATCCCTCTTGATCCCTCGATATCACACCAAATCACTCAATATTTCATTAAAGTTGTAAAGACAGCTTTGTTCATTTTTGCGGCGCCGCAGACGAAAATTTTGAGATTTTGGATGTCAACATGCCAAATTTTTTCCATTTTCTGCGCCGCAGGCGAAAATTTTTCTTACTTTCATGCCTCCCCTCTTTTGTTAACTTTATTTCACAGACTTCTAGTCAATTTATAAAGTCGGGATTTGCATCGGGATCTGATGCACATCCCGATCCCGATCCCGGATCCCGGCTCGGGATTGAGAATGACCGGGATCGGGATCGGGATATTTATTTCGGGACCGGGATCAGAAAAATCGGGATCGGGATTCGAAAAACCCGGGATAATCCCGCCCGATCCCGACCGGGATCCCGATCCCGCTGAACTCTAGTTCTGACAGAAGATATCTTTAAAATAACCAAGATAACTTAATAGTAGGGTTGTGCACGACCGGTTTTAAAACCGGAAATTTTGATATTTTTTGCCAAAAATTAACTGTTTTTACAAAATTTAAAAACCGAAAACTTCTGAAAATGAGTGATTTTATTAAAAATCCCCCCAAAATACATAAAACTGTTATCTGTTCAAAACTCAAAACCGGGTTTTTCAAATTTGGATTAACCGAAAACCGGTGGTATCGTTTACTAATCGGTCGTGCACAACCATACTTAATAGCTATAAGAAAGTGTGAAAAGGCGTTTTAATAGGAAAGATATGTAAATTAATATACTATCATAATAGCATATAAATTTTAAAAAAATTTTAAATTAATAAAATAAAATTTCTTTTTCTTTTAATTGCAATTGAAACCATAAATTTGATCAAGAAATTCATCAAATTTCTTCATTGTATCACTTTGCAAATCTTTCATAGTTTCCAAAAGAGCAACTTTCAAACGATCTGTAAAAATATTTAATAAATTTAATAACAAATTTAATTTTTAACCCTCCAAAGTTTTATCCTTTTCAACAAGTTTTTGAGTAACAAATCCAAATGTTTCACAATCATTTCGATAACTCTTAAATTATTTTTAATTAAATATTTTCTTTATTTATTTTGACAACCTTTTCAAATTCTCGTTTTTTCTTTGCCACACATTCCCGTAACTCTACAGATAATTTGTTAATTTTCTCTTCACGAATATTGTCGGAAATTTGCTGTTTGGACAAAGAACCTTTTTTTAATTTTATAATTTTTATTTTAATTCATTTTAAAATATACTTAAATGAAATCCTCCTTGATTTTCATCAACATTTGTCGATACTTTGAATTTTATACCCTTCAGAATTTGACGCTAGAAACAATTTAGTTAAATGTTTATTTAATTTATGTTTCGATATAATTTAAATCTAGTAATGATAAAATCTCAGTAATAAATTTTTCTCGAATCTCGTCTTATCCACGAACGTTCCACTACTTTCTCTAAAGAACTAATAGGGAGGATTTCTTTTTAGAAATAAGTATATCTAATAAAAATTAAATTACGGATAAACAACCGTGTCTGAGCCCATGTAAAAATCCTATTTCCAGGGTTTCGGGTTTTTAACTACGTCTGAGCCAAGACGAGATCCCGAAGAAAAAGCTCAGTATAAAGATAGATATTTTTCGAGATATCAATCTCCAGTCCGGGCTCTAGTCTTAACCCAGGAATCATGATGGAGTCAATTTAAAAGAACAAACCCGCGATACTGAGCCCAATAAATTGAAAAGTTCAGACTTTAATATTTACTCACCTGTATGGCTAAAAAATTATTATTCGCTAATGGATCATCATCGCGTACGTGTGAAGACGATGCTACTTCAGGTAAGGTTTCTTTTTCCATAAGTGGATTTTCTGTGATTTGTATATCTTCAGTATCTGTATCTTGAGTTGAGAATGATGGGTTTACTTCTAAATTTATTAAATTTATTTATGTTAATACATAAGTTAATACATCCAAAATTCTCAAAATTTTCTCCTAAAAACAGCCCTAGATATTTCTTCCAATTTTCTATTACACCAAGTACGAGAAACTAATTTTACTCATTTCACCCACATGTTGGCCTCGTACTTTCAGCATTTTAATTTTCTTGACATTATTGCTTCGTACATAATACGTATGAGGTACGAGTACAAATCGAACATCCAATCATTGTTTCTGACTTGATTCAACTATATTTACAATAATTAACTCACGATATTGCCAAGCCATATTTTCCGATGTTTTGTTTGATTCATTTTGTTGATTAATGTTTTGAGGATTATTTTCCTTAAATAAATATATTAATTAGTTTAAAATTAATTACCGGATTTGTTTCATTCTGCCTTGGAACAGTTATTTCATTAGTCAATAACCCTTTGTCTCCTATTGAATATTTTAAAAAATTTTATTTTTTTTTAAATTTATATTATTTTTTAATATTACATATGATTATTATCTAAAAATATCCTACTCAAATTTCTTTGATGGATTGGCCCATTATTGTGATTGTTTTTAACGTTATGAAATCTTAATGGTTTAAACTAAAATTTAACTATCAATTATTAAATAAAAATATAATCTTCTGACATAATCTTTGTCACAAACTTTACAATAAACTCCATTTTCATCCACAATATAATTCTTTGAATCAACCTCCCCCAATCTTTCAACATAATTATTCCATCTTTCTAAATCAGGTAATTTCTTTACATTTTCAGCATTATTTATTAATAAAAAGAATATTAATATATTTAATAACCACATTCGCTATAAAATTTTATTTTAAGTGTTAAGCAAAATAATGTGGAATTTCATATCCAAGGGTGCAATCAAGGCTTAAATTAAATCCTTATAAGTCCCGCACAAGGGTTTTATTCAAATGAGTATTTTAAAAAGATTATTACTAGAATATTAATTAATTACTTATGTATTTTTAAAATTAAATAAATTTACAAAGCTGAGATATAAAAATTTATTTATATTAATAAATAATAGTGAAAATAAAAAGTACATATTTAAAATATTATTAACTCAGACAAAAAATTTAGTATTTCAAAATTTATTTACATATTAAAGTAAATTATTTTATGGATTTTTATATAAAAACAATTTTCTGAGTAAAACACAAAAATGCGCTCTCCTTTAATGTCTGATTTAGTAATTACCTAATAGTATACTTAAGTGCATATTTCATATAAAAATTAAAAAGAAATATTAAAAGGGCAAATTAATTAAATTTGATTTTAAATAAATTAATTTACAAATAAATAAATAAATTATACAAAATAGAACGAGGTCCTAATATGAGCAAATCCCAATTTTAAAAATCTAAAAAAGTAAAAAAAATAATTATCATAAAATTTAAATTGTTATTTGGGATGATACAACGTGTAGATTTCCGAATTTTCTTCGGAGCGGATTAAGCCAGATAAATTAGTCCAGATCTGGTCCAACTAGATGAAGTCAACAAATTTTTTGGGACTGTTTGGGACTGTGTCCTGTTAGTGCGTTCCCTATTATGTAATTGACGCAAGGTCCGTCGACAAAAGATTGGGGAACCAAATTTAATCCAGGAAATCCAGTAAAAATTCGACTGAATCTGGACTTTGGAGTTAGGATATTGACTGGACTAGATTCTGGATATGGTACAAAAAATTTCAGATCCAGAAAAATGCAGGAAGATGAAAAATGCATGGAAAAAAATCTAGAGTGGATCAGATTCTTGACAGATCTCTAGAACAAAGTACCAGATATTCCTCCAAATCACTTTTATATTTCTCCTCAAAATCAAAGATATCCCTCCAAATCCCGGATATCGTTCTATATCCTTCCAGTCAACAAATATCCTTCGAAGTTAATTTAATTCAATTAATTTAGATGAGATATCGTTAGAGTAGTCTTCTATTAAAGACTAGGCTTATATTTTTCGATCTCCTCGAGTGGGCTTATATTAGAGATAGGCTTCTAATAGAGTCGGGCTTATATTAAAGCATTTAACGTATTTAATTTTTAAAATATGTTTAAAGAAATATTTAAATTAATTTAAATTTTTTATTTTGCAATTTTGGTCATTGATAATTAAACTAATAAATCAATTTATTCTTATATTTTTATCTCATTTTGACAATATTTTCTATCCATATTAAAACACGTATAGATAATTTTATTAATAAAGAAAAACCCAAATTATCTATTTATTTACAGACTTAAAATTTTTAAACGAGATTTGGAAAAGGAACGAGCGCAAGAGATAATTGCAAAAACACAGAACGCAGCGCAAGGCCAAAAAACAACGCAAAATACAAGAGAGCAAAATGGAAAAAACTACATATTTCTATCAAGTATTGGCCATTTTCCCTTCAAGAATCACTACGTATTTATTTTGTGATATAAGGTTTTAGAATATAGTGATTTGAGGGATATCATGGATATCAGGTTAAATCGAAAATACTAGAACCTAAAGTTAAACAATTATGTGTCTATTTTAAATGTCTATTCTCGAGTTTCTAAGAAAATTTATTTTAAATATCCTTCAAAATTACATACCTATTTAGAATCTGAATTTCTGATCTAAATTTTAAATTAAAAAACCTCGATTAATTTACGAGACCTAATTTTGAAATTTATTTTGCACTAAAAAATAGATTTTTTAATTCACAGATTCTCTCAACACACGCATCCCATCCATCTCAAAATATTTAATTTAATGGTCTGCCTTTTCAATCGAGTATTTATCAACCAAATAAATACTCGTTGTTTTTAAATATCTTCACTTATTTTATTTTTAATTTTTCTAAAAATTTTCCTCCATTCTCTTCTTCATTTTAACCTTTTTCTTCGAGTAAATTTAAGTTTTATCTGATTAGAAGATGTTAGAAAAAATCATTTAAAATCTTCATCTTCAATTAAAAAGTAAATCAAAAATATTTTTTGTAAATTTATAGATTAGAAAAATGAAGATTAAAATTATTTTTCTGTTTTTTGTTTTAATTTATTTCACAAATAATGTTGGAGAAGGAAGTTCAAATAAAAGAGGAAAGGGGAGTAGTAGTTCATCAAAAAGGGGAGGAAATATAAATCAAGGAACTGAAGAACAACATCAATTATATAGTCAATATAGGGGACAGGATGATTCAACGAGTGGTTTTGGAGATGGAACAAATCACCCAAACATTACAGGAGTTTCTTCTTTTGAGCCTACTTCTGTTCATGAATCTTCACATCCTCAACCAATTTCAAATGAATTCCAAGACCCACAATCACTTGTTGGGGATAATTCCTTTTATCATCACTCATTGTTTCCATCTGTTATACCTCACGATGATTTTGACACTCTTGGATATGATTTGGGCCAATTTTCAACAACGCTTCAATTCCCAACACCATTGCCTTCACAAAACTACAATCAAGAGTCAATGACGAGAACAGAAGATAAGCCTGAAAATCCTTCTTCGCAACCAACAGAAAATAAATGTACATATATACTTCTTGTTATAATTATTTATCATATCTATGCTAATTTAGCAAAAAACTTAAAATATAAAATTTGTCTGCTAAGTTCCTTTTACATAATAATGGGGGTTACAATTAAGTGCTGTAGTTATTTAGTCATTTTTTGCTGTCGTATAAAGTTAAAACCTAATAAATTACTGATGTACTAAATTATTGCTTTCTCATTTTTTGCTTTCTTACAAGAAAGTTTTTTGCTTCCTTACATATATCATTCAGAACAATCCATAAGAGGTAGAAAATATTTTTGAAATAGGCTTATCCCTGTTAGAGGTGTCAGGATCTCAACTTTGAATGAAATATGGGCCTATATATTTGTAGAGAAAAAATCTAAGCACTATGTTTACTTCTTTATAAGAGAAGTAGTTCCAAATTTCTTTGAAAATATTAATTCGAAATATTAAAAATATAATTATTTTAGGTCGACATGCATCATACAGCAGAAATATTCAAAAATTTAATATAAATTCAGAAATATTTAAAGTAATTGATGATGGAGATGATTGTTGTTATGTTAAATGTAAAGAATGTGATAAAATTGTTGTTAAGAAAAATTATGATGGTGAGGTTTATCAGGCAAATAGAATGATTAAAAATCATTATATGAAATTCCATGGAGAGTATGAAAGTGTAGGTAATTTTATGCATAATTAAAATTTGATATACATATATTTAGAAAACAAAAAATTTTTGGAAAATATGTTAAAAAAAGTAGGCCAAACAAATAATTTTACAATACAAGAAAATACAAATAAAGTTATTTGTAATGTTTGTAAAACTCCAGTAAATTTTTTAATAATTTAATAAAACATATTAGATATTTAAGTTAAGGCCAACATTAGAAATTCATATTACTCAACATCTAGCTACGCCCAGTCATCTACAAAATATTACAAGTAATGTGTTTATATTTTTTGTTTTAATAATTAAATTAAAATAATTAGACAATGAAGAGGTACTAAAATCAAAGGAAAATATACTTAACGAAAATAAGCAATATTTCGAATTTGAGGGTAAAAAATGGAAATGTATATTATGCAATTTGAAGGTTTTTATTATTATTAAATTTATTATTAGTTTTTTAAAATATTTTAGTTTTCTCGAAACAGCAAATCACAACTATTACGACACATTGAAAGTGGAAAACATCAAAAAAATTTTGAAAAGGGTAGCTAATATTTTTTAATCTCTAAGAAATTAATTCTTTATTAGCAATTCTATAAAAATTTTACATACCTAAAATTCGTACTATTACGACCAGTGCTTCGAAGCTCGTATCAAAATTCGTACTCGTACCTCGTACCTGGTACGAAGTACGAGTACGAGCAAAAAATTGGGGCAGTTACGAAGTTGCTCGCTTCGCTCGCGGCGACCGTAGCGAAGCGGCGGCCGTCGTTCCGCTCGACATGCCCGGCTTCCTCTGCAGCGGCAAAAACTTTTTTCCGCGTAGGCATTATGTGAGAGGTTTCCACACTTTGTATTATGAAGGATTTTGGAGGAGGATTATATTATACACAAAGAGGAGTTTTATAAAATTTTTCTACGGTTTGGCAATTCAACAGCTTT